TACACACGACTTGCAAAGGAAAGACAAACTTTGACCTGAAGATCTCTTTTACTGTAGGACCTAGAACGACATCTGTTTTAATTATAGATCCACGCGTAACAGAACTGTCGACGTGAGTGTCGTACTTGTCAAAGAAATCCATCCTGGAACGTGGACCAAAATGCGTTGGTGCTTTCGTAGTGATCATAATAACTTGTTGAGATATTGACTTTCTCCTTTTTGAAACATTCTTCAGGAAAAGGCTCAAAAATAATTGCCTTCCGTTCCTTGAAATATTCTTACATATGGGTCTTTGGGAGGTTGATCGCTTTTCCAAGCTTTGCTGATTCGCTGGTCCCTTGGGTTCGTTTGCTTTCTTTAACCTCCTGGGATGTAGAAATGACTGTCAGGTACATGACCGTCATAAAGAGGAGAAACATGGCCACAGTTTTCCCTCGACCACTGTAATGAGAATAAGTTCAACCTGCCAGCAAAGATTGGTATTGGTGAGATCATACAAGTCAGTTAATTTTTTGAGGGTATTATGACCAAGGAAATTTTGTCTTTGTTTTGAATACTGATTTGTGACCTGGTAAAATGACTACATAGGGTCACATAATATTAATCTTCAAGATTATTTCAAGTTTGGTGGCTTCCTCTGCGATGCAATATTTACTAGGCTTATAATTTGATTGAGACTTTTAGAAACAAACAAATCAGTTACAATACTAGCAATAATGATAGAGATCTAGAGTACTGGTTACAACCATTGTAAAAGAGCTCTCTTGCTGTGTAGTTGAGGCTATTTTTGTTTGAAAAAGAGAAACTGAAAACATGGCTAAGGTACTTTGTGCATTTCGTTTCAATTACTAGTTGCCAATCGGAGTGAAGTTATCAAGGTTTCTGTCTCTTTGCTGTCTTTTCACTTTTTGTATTTGGAAACATAAGCTATTGGAAGGAATTGTCACTGCTGCAGCAATATTGTTAGGAACGTCAATAGAATGAGGTGCATTTTATCTGGCCTGATGTTTATGCTTTATTTCTTGAGGTGTGGGGATAATGTGTCCTACCTGCATGCTGGATCTTGTTTGTTTCCATCTTGTCCAGTGCTTTCAATAAGATTTGAAGTAGGTGGCTAGCTCAGTAAAGCACCCGCCGGAGAATATTATGAAAAATAATTTCCCACACCTTAAGCCATTAGTTCCATTCAGAATAAACTGGCCTAAAACGGAGTGTTCGGTGATTAACTTTGGTAAATGATCATCATAATCAGTTTCCTGTGAAACAAGTGTTTAACTGATCGTTTTATTTCTAATCAAAGTCTTCCATTTGCTGACGTGCAAACCTGCTGCAGGAGTTTCGCACACGCCGGAGTCCTCCCAAAAGCCATAGGGTTGCTAATAACCGAGATTTGAGCCAGTATGTTCTCAAAAACTCAAAACATGTTCTTTTTTTTGCTGAAAATGTGGTATATGATGAGACACGTAGAGCTGACGAGTGAAACGGTGAGCCATTTTTTATTAGCAAGGAAAGTAAAGGCCTCGACAAAACCTCTTCCGCAACCACAAATGTGAGCTGATATTTGCTTCACTCTATATTTTCCAAACGAAAATCCTTGAGTATGGCAGCCGTTAATCGATTTGACAATTCTCCTTCCATTTCATCGTAAACGATACTTGGAAGCAACAAACAACTGCACTCGAAGGTTTACCCGCCATAATTTGTTTGATGCAAACCGGCATACTCTGGTGGAGCGGTGTGGCTGTTTTTTTCATTAACGAAAAAAAGTCGCTTCACCAAAACGTTCCCTGCTGACGTAAATACGAGTTCATATTTGCCGCACTCTATATCCTCCAAATGACAATCCAGTGTAGAAATTGCTTCGTTTTGCTCCGATTCTAGTGCGCGAGACATGTTAAATTCCGTGCTTCTTCGAGAGCGGAATCTAAACTAATAACTTTACAATGAGAGTTCGCCATCTTTCTCGTTGTCCAGTCAGCGAAATGTCAGAACGACGCTTAAATGACGCATTTTGACTGACAGCTGGAGCTTAACCGCACCAATGAGGAACTCCGTTCGTGGGCAAAAATAATTTTTTTCAAAATAAGAATGACTTCGGGCAGGCGTAATCTTCACTTCCCCACCCCTACCCTTCTCATTTTTTACCGACGACCGCCCCCTCGGTACAAATTTCTTTCTCTCCCCAGCCTTCCGCTGCCATTAAAATCAAAGATGAGGGCTATAATTTTCGTTATGGGAATACTGAGCACTTGCTCGCCAAAATTACGCTTGCTTTGCAGGCTAAATTTATTTAGAACACACGAAAAAAGCAGAAAGGGAGAACTGCCAGTAAAAGAATGAATCTAAGAATCAAAGGCCACGCAAATTCAAAGTAGATGAGATGAATGCTCTAATATTAAATTGACTAAACGTTATAACTTTACTTCCCATACGTCAGTTGTCCTGATGGTAATCATGCAAGTAAGTTAGTGTTCAATCTCGGCGAAGTTTCATTTGCCAATTGCCAATTGTCAATGGTAGGCCGAAGTGTCCGTGATGGTAGATGCACTATTTAATTGGAGGTAAGCATCTACGTTTGCTTTGAACACTGTGGAGCTTTCAATCTATGCAATTGTTAGACCCGTATAGCGCGCGCACGTTGAAATAAGCCAGGAATTGTATTTTGGACAATTAACACTTAGTTTAGACTTGATCTATTTTTCAGTGAAGTAACGATCAAAAGGCTGTAGTAATTGCTCTGAAATAGAAGGAGACCGGAGGACCATTTGGGAGAGTGGCACGCATTTCAATGTACTTGGAGGGACGTCGGTAAAGAGGAGGAAACTAAATCCGCCAAATTAACGGTGGGTGAACTTAATAAAGAGGACATTAACCTTGTCAAATTAAGAGACATCACGCGGACTCAAACTTCACGGGTTGTCACTCTGCTAGCAGACACCAAATCGAGAGCCAACGAAAAGGCATCCATGTGTGCAATTAAAGAATAAGACTTCAACTAATGGTAAGCTACTCCTTAAATTTACCATGGTTCATCCTAGGCAACAATCATAATCGATAACATCGATCGTATTTTTACTCTAAGAAAACTACTGCAAACCAATCCGCAACCGTTTTTTCACCATCACTGGTCTTTCGCTTTAGCTGATTTGATCAATAAAAACACATTATTACTGCGTTTTTTATAATATAAACGAGCTATCCCTACAGCCCTGCCCATTGCTCGTGCTTTATTTGGCTTCAATGTTTGACCCCGTCTTGCCATTTGAACAGGACCGAAGAAGTTCTGTAATCCATGACCATTACCTTAGCTTTACCCAGATGTGGTAAAAAGCTGCTCTGCCACAGTGGCATCACTTGTAAAGCTAATTTCTTATTTCAGATGATATTGACCAAGCGTGTCTATGATTCTAATTTAACTTAACACCGGGGTCGCTAAACGAGACAATTTTTCAATTCATTTTTCTTCAGATACTGAAGTAAACACAGAAATTAGGCTAGCAACAGTTCTATTTTTTGATAATTATTTTTAATTTATTCTTGCCCCTTTCCCCTTTCCCCTTTCCCCTTTCCCCTTTCCCCTTTCCCCTTTCCCCTTTCCCCTTTCCCCTTTCCCCTTTCCCCTTTCCCCTTTCCCCTTAACAAAAATAAGTTCAACTCAGGTGAATGCACTCCTTTTTATTTTAACACTTTAATTGGATTTACATTTCAACATTCCAAGTACCTGATCGAGAAATGTTTAAAGTACAGCTGTCCAACTCTGATCGAATGGCCAACTGTTGTATTACCCCAGTTTTTATTTTCGCTTAATTAGGTGCTCGCCGTTTTAGTGACTACATGTAAGATAAGAGAATAATCACATTTCTTCTTCTTCTTCCTTCCGTTGACTTTGAATTGGATGTTTTCCTGCGTGGTGCTTATTACCGCCGGGTGTTGAGTGCTTGGCAGCATCTTTAGCTGTGTAAGGTTTTGGCATTCCTCTCGCTTGATCTGTAACAGGATCCTTTGCCTCGTCGTAGGTTCCGTTGCGAGGTGCTTTATGTTTACCAGCATCTTTGGACGTAATTGGTAGGAACCACACAACCTTCCGTTCGTTGCGATCTTTATTGTAGCAACCACACTCAATCCACAACTTTTTCCAATTGCATCCTTCCCACATCCAGTTGTGGTTGTTGACGTATGCCATTTGTTTGATTTGACCTGTTATTTGTTTTTCCGAATGGTAGCGAACGCACGTTTTTCCTCTGCAAGCACACTTGACGCCAATTACGTAATGACAATCGTTATCGTTATGGCAACCATCGTCAGCGAGAGTACATACGAATTCTGGATTTCCTTTCATTGGCTGTTTGTAGTCGAACTTTTGAATTTCAACATTACCACTTTTACTGTAGGGACAGCCATAATCCAAGTATCCACTGTAGTAGTAATGGAGGTTTGTTGCTCGGTGGTAATTCTTAGATCCTGATTCAAAGCGGCTTTGTAATATGCTCCAGATCGTCATGAAAGTATGCTGGACAGGCTTAGGTGCCTCATCAGCTTCATTCATAAGTTTCTTTATCAGTTCAGTCGACGTCTTTCCATTATTCAAAGCGCTATTTGTATCCCTCAGTCCTCCCCTGACAAACCTTGTCTCGCTAACAGTCATCTTGCTTGCCTGGGATATTTCACTGTTTGTCACATTAGAACAAGCCGAAAGACCAAGCTCCCCAACATCTGTGGGACCTGCGGCCGAGATACAGGCTCTCACCTGGAAATCTCTTTCGCTATACGACTCAGAGCTCTCTGCGAACACCATTTGCTGGAACCTTGATCCGGTCTCTTTAGACGTTATGACATGAGAGCCGTATTTCTCCAGGAAAGCGCTGTATGGTTTCCAAGAATTGTGGAGCCAGGGTTCTTTAATTTGCAGTGGCAATGCACTAAAGGATTCCATAAATTCTTTATTCAGGGTGGACATTTTGGCACTTGTGAGGCATTCTTTATTAACGTAAATCTTTTCTGCCAACGCCTGCTTGATCAAAGATATGCCACTCACTTCGCTTTTCTCTGAGCTTTTGCTCTTTGTTGCCACTGATACAGTAGCACCCAAAGTAAACGTAGAGGTTAAGGATGCGCTCAAGCTTGACTCGGTGGCCAGTGACTTATACAATGCGTTGGTATTTTTATAATAATCGAACTTGCTGCTTGACGACGTTAAGGTCTTCTTTGTAAAGCATTCTGGCGAAAGTGGATCAAAAATCCTATTCTCTTTTTCTGGAAAGTCGTCCAATAAGTTTACGCTCGGTAGGAATATTATTTTTGCAAGCTCCTCTAATTCACCTTTGGTAAATTTTTTCACTTCTTTGAGCTCGTTTGATTCACCTTTGGTAGCTATTCTGGCTTCAGAAAATGGGAGGGTCAACCAAAGCAACAGTGTTAGGGAGACAAACATGATTTCCAGCTGAAAAGCGTCTTTATGCTTGGGCGAAGGCTCAAAATCTGCTATACAAAGACAAGTTTAAATTAACTCAACAAAATTACGTGGCTCGATGGTGAGCGGCTACTAATATGGTAGTTAAAAAAAGTCCTTCAAAGTTATGTTTTAAAACTTTCCAGAACTCCGTTTCTACGGTTTATTGGAAAAAGTGGAAATTCCTCTTGGCCATCGGTCCTAGAGAGTAATTTTAATTGATGACCCCTCTGTGTCAGGCAGTCCATAACATATGCGATCAACCGTTACAGTACGACTGTAAGACTCAAAGTGATAACAATTTAGAGGTGGGGTTTAAATGATTAAAATACTGCGGCTGGTGCTGTCCCTTATGCAAACTTGGTAGTTTTAGTTTCACAAACTTACGCACGTATCTAAATAATCCAATAAAGATCCAAAAATTTAAGAAAGGGTATAACTGTCTGTTCACTCTTGAAATTGCAACAATAATCGTCGAGGTCCAACTTTCTCTCAACTGTATTTGTTTGTTAATCTGAGGGTAACACCAATCGATAGAAATCAAGTGAGGTGTAACGTTTAAACAAAGAAAAAACGCTTCACAGAGAAAAGTAATGGTACCAGGAGTATTGGAATCTAAGAGAATACTTAAACACCTTTTGAATTGACGCGAAAAGGACCGCGGTTGAAAGTTTTTGAGCCACCACCTCGTCATTCAGAGCGATAAACGTGTTAATGAGTCAAAACGATTCACGAACGTTTCAAGAAAAATG